TGTCCTGTTAGTACACAGGGTGAGGTAGCCAAAGTGCCAGCCCCCGCCTGGGGAAATACCTGGGCAGCCAAGCCACCCTCCCAGGGGCCCCTACTGGGGAAGGAAGGGACCACAGGCAGCACCCACCACCAATTGTGGGCTGTGTGCCACCAGTGCCACCTGGTGGCAGGCGGCGGGAAGGGATGTGAATACCCCCCGGGCGTGACCAGCACTCACCGGGCCGGGCGTGCCTCTCTCTGAGGGCGGGACCATGTCTGGCGAGAGGACTTGAGGGGGGTCGATGCCTTTACTGACCTTCTGCTGAATGAAATACATAGCTAACGCGAATTGGTCTTTGCTTAACTTCCCCGTTTGCCTCGTATCGGCCAGGGCCCTGGGAGAAACGTGGGGATGCTAATTACACATCACAGGCTCCGACTCAGCCTGAACACAAGTCACCGATCCCATGCTTTTCAAAAATCACAGTGACGAAAACAATGGCAGGGCACAGTGGCAAGCCCCAGCTCCTTTCCTACTTCACATCTCCTTCCCAGAAAGTGGCCCGGGGGTTTCCCACTCCCAGCGTCCCCCAACCGAGGAGGGCTGTTGGGGCTGGAGAACCCTGAGCCCCTGCCCCTGGGCTGAGGAGCCGACCCCTTGGGAAACCTCACTAGGGCTAAGAGATGCAGCTGCCTCTTCCTTTGGTTTATCTCGTGTGTGGGGCAGGTTCTGATGCCGCATGCGTGGAGTAGACCAGCCCTTCCGTGGAAATGGGTGTGGAGACCAAGCATCCACACGCGGCTCTGGGTCATCTGAATGGCCCCGGTCACTGGCCTTCAATGGGGGTGACAGCAGCACTTTGGGGTGTCATCATGATGAAGGAAGAATCAGCAATGACTCTCTTTCCTTGTTATGAACAGAATGTTTATGTCCCCCCAGATTCCTATGTCCAAATCCTACCCCTCAATGGGATGGTGTTGGGAGATGGGGCCTCTGGGGGGCGATGAGGTCATGAGGGTGGAGCCTCATAAGTGGGATTAGTGCCCTTATTAAAAAGGCTCCAGAAGGCTCTCTCTGCTTCTTTTGCCATGTGAGGACACAGCGAGCAGGCGGCCATCTACAAACTAGGCAGTGAGCCCTCACAAGACACTGGATCTGCCAGTGCCTGGATCACGGACTCCCATCCTGCAGAGCTGTGAGAAACGTCTGTTTCTAAGCCACTCTGTCTGTGGCAGTTTGTCACAGCAGCCCAATGGACTAAAACACTCCTCTTGTGCCCAAATGAGGCTGCCACAGGGGCATGGCTGCAATGCACAGGACAGTCCCCCACAACTAAGCATCCTCTGCCCACATGGCTCTTGGATGTCCTGAAAGATAGGCCAAGGCAGCATTTGAATAGCAGCACACAGTGGTTCCATGGAACTGAGGTGACAGGCTCCCTGACACTCATAATCAAGGAGCCAGCCAGGGCCGGTCATGGTGGCTCACGCCTGTAATCCCAGCACTTTGGGAGCCAAAGTGGGCGGATCACCTGAGGTCAGGAGTTCGAGACCAGCTTGGCCAACATGGGGAAATCCCGTCTCTACTAAAAATACAAAAATTAGCCGAGCATGGTGGCCTGTAATCCCAGCTGCTCAGGAGGCTGAGGCACAAGAATCACTTGAACCTGGGAGGCGGAAGTTGCAGTGAGCAGAGATCGCACCAATGCACTCCAGCCTGGGCAACAGAGTGAGTCTCTGTCTCAAAAAAAAAAAAAAAAGGCGGGGGAACCAGCCAGGAAAGGAAGGAAAGGACCCTTGTTGATCAAGGATAAGGCCTTGGGGTCTGTGAAAAATGTCTTCCCTCACCCATGCCACCCTCTCAACATGGGACCTCCTTTCCCACCTCGTGTGCAGTTATGGCAGAAGCCGTTATGGCAGAAGCTCCCCCCTCTACCAAAGAGAGCTGGGACAGTACTAACAGACTTATTTATGCCCAAATGCGGTGCGTGAACAGAGTTGCGGAGAATGAGCAGATTTCAAGGAACATCGCTGATAAAGGCTGCTTTAAAATGCCTAGTTGTCCCCACAGTTGGAGGCCCTGACGATTTCACACTGCCACTATCTCTCCCCAGTCTACCCCTGCGGGCCCCAGCCTGCTCATGGGCTGCAGCTGCCTCTCCACTCCCGTCCCTTCTCTGCTCCGGCCATCTCTCAAGGAGCATGGGGTCCGAGGCCCACCTGTGGAGGGTTCTGAGAGAAAAAGGGCTTGGGGGTGGCTCAGTCGGCGGCCATCCGGCTCTGACACCACATCCTGCTCTGCTGACCTGTATGGTGGCGGCCATCGCAGGGACAAAGCCTCCATCTTCATGCTCCCCCTCCTTCCAGTCCCTCCTAGGAGGTGTGTCGTCTACACTGGGTCATGGCCCCGCCCCGGGCACCCACAGACACATCTTTCCTTGTGGTTGTTTATTCAAGAGCCCAATTATCCTTTCCTTTCCCTTTGCTGCCTGCATGGAATGACCTCTGAGTTCCTTCTTTTGATCCAGGTGGATTCATGATTTCCTGTGTCATTTCCATGTCGTTACATCATGTACCAATTGCAGCATGCATTATAAATTACTTTCCCTCTACTGCCCCCTGGACATGACAGTCAGGGTGTCAGGGCACTAACCAGGAATTGTGTGTATGTTGGTTTCAGAGTTAAAGGGGACACTGTTTTTGTGGTTTCTAAAAGGGACAGTGGATCCGAGGCAGGTGAGACCCATTGTCCCTAGCCAGTCGGAGGTGGCTTGGCCGTTTGGGTGATGACTCTGTGACAGCTGGTTCTCAGGCTCCCACCTCACAGTATGGACATCTGTGAATTACCACTAAGGACAGTCATTTCCCCCAAGCCACTAAGTAACATCCTGAATTTCACTGCTCTACTTGGAGGGATTTGCCTCTTGAGAATTATCCAACAATTCTCTCCTTTTGATAGCTTCCAAGTGAAGCCTTCTCTAAGGCCGCAAAGTTCTGAGCAACAAGCTCAAAAGTGACTTCAGCCCTGGCCAGTGGCAAGAGAAGTGCCCCAGCCCTATAAAGTAGGCTGTGTCCAGCCCTGGGGGAAAGTGGGGGTGAGGCCGACTCCTCAACTGGGCTCTGAGGTGCAGAAAGGGTCTCCCTGTGCTCACCCGCCTGCCGGGAGCCAAAGCACTGGCCTTTCCAGAGCAGGGCCTCCCACAGGAGGCTGCTGTAGCCCCCATCCCCGTCACCACCCCCTAGGCCATTCTGCTAGAGGCTCCAAGACCCTGCTGCCCACACCTCCGGAAGGCAGCTGTGGCAAAGGCCAGGCCTCCTGCTAGAACCAGTATCATGGCCAGCAAGAACAGGGCCCAGCTGTGTGAGCAGATGGCCTGGGAGCTCTTGAGAGGGGCCAGAGGGCCCTCCTACTGGAAGACAGTGAACTGACCAGCATGGAGCATGGGCTTCAAGCCTTGGCACATGCACATTGCTCAGCCTCTGTCAGGCCGGTGAGAATAAAGGACACCAGACACAGTGGAAGCCTGTGACAAGCTGGAAGGGGCCCCCTGACCACCACCCTCCACAGTCTTCACCCATAGGCCCCCTGGAGCAACCCACAGCCACGACTGCCACTCGTCCGGCCTCACCATATGTGTGCTAGAAGGTTCTGGGTGAGGCCCGAGTGCATGAAGATCTCCTTCACCTCCTGGCCACTCACGTAGCCGTCCAGGTCCAGATCGGTCTTCAGGAATATCTCATCAAATCGCATCTTGTCTGCCACCGGCACCACCCAGTTCACTGTTGGCTGAAACAGTTTTTGGCAAAACAGTTAATCTGGAAGCTTTTTATGACCCCCAGACACATGCTTTTTGATGATGGGGCGATTAAAGCACTTCCATGCACATTTGGCATCAAACTCTCCTCACTTCCATGAGCTGAGGGCAGATGAGATCCTCGTTCTGTAACTGGCTAAACTGAGGCTGAGACAGGTTGAGGCTGGCTCTGTGAAGCTCACCCAGATGCCAGTCTGTACCTCTCTCCACCCCATCACCCGCTCTGCTTGTCCATCTACCCTGCCACCTAGGGCGTGAGGGAGGCTGTGATCTTCAGGGGATGGGTTCAAACATGCCAGGAAAGATCCCCCTGAGCACCCACTTGGAAGGACTGTCCCCGGAGAGCCGGCCCTGCCACATGCCAGCCTCCCTGGTCCTCCCACTCTTCGTCCCCCAGAGGCTGCCCTACAGGCAGCCAAAGTGTCCCATCCCAGGACTCTGTAGACCACTCTTCTATGTCCCTGACCCCGCTCCTGAGACAACAGATACCCCCAAGCTGTCAGTGCAGACACACCACTTACAGGTAACAAATGAGACCCCATTATCCAAGAGGGCCGCCACCCACGAGGCCCCGCCAACATTCATGCACTCCCAACCCCGCCAGGGCAGACGGAGCCACGAGCCCAGTGCAGCTTGAGGTTCACAGCCCCGGGGCTGGGCCACCTGCTGCACCTGTGGCCCCTCTCACCGCCGGCTCAGTTAACTTGAGAGAGGCAAACGCCATCATGGGTCAACCAGGGCCCGGTCACCTCCTGGTTCAGAGGCATCGAGGCCCCTCAGGCACTCGGGCAGGCCTCTTCCGTGGCCCACTCCGCCTGCATTACCGCGGGCCTTCAACAAACCCACCACACCACAGTTCACAGCATCTGTGTCCTGAACTTTAGACATGCTTTTCCTCTTCCCGTTTTTTTTTCTTTTAACTAATATTTATACAAATCACTCCTTTTAAACAATCTCGTAATAGCAATGAGAATCAATACCTGATTGAATTATCTAGATGATGAGGAAGTGGAGAGAAAAAGGACAGGCAAATGTGGCTGGAGGGATCGATTGTTCCTCCTCCACACATCAACTGTACAAAAAGCTGCAACCCACTCCTCACCTTCAACGAATGCCATGATGCCTGAAACTGCCACTCAAAGTCATTCCTCTTAGTTATGAAAGGATTTCTTAGGCCGGGAGCGGTGGCTCACGCCTACAATCCTAACACTTTGGGAGGCCAAGGTGGGTAGACAACCTGAGGCCAGGAGTTTGAGACCAGCTTGGCCAACATGGTGAAACCCTACTTACTAAAAACATGAAAAATTAGCCAGGTGTGGTGGTGGGCACCTGTAATCCCAGTTACTCAGGAGGCTGAGGTGGGAGAATTGTTTGAACCTGGGAGGTGGAGGTTGCAGTGAGCTGAGATTGTGCCACTGCATTCTAGCCTGGGCGACAGAGCAAGACTCTGTCTTGGGGGAAAAAAAAAAAAGGATTTCTCAAAGAGTTATCACAGTGTTGACAACCCAAAGATGTCCATAGGATTGGGGAGAAGGGACTCCTGGTCAAGACTGGGAAACAATGGTTAAACTCATTTACTCTTCATGAACAAGTCTCCTGTGATGTCCAAATCTAACGGGCTCCTGATATCAACTCGGGGAATTCAGAAAGCAAGCTCGGGAAACAAGGGATACCATGTGACCCAGATCAGCTTAGTTCAGGGGTTTCATGTAGCAAGTATGTGTGATGAAGTACAGCAAGGACTTGATCAAACAATTTATCAAAATCTATGGAGCTAGGCCAGGCACAGTGCTCCTGCCTGTAATCCCAGCACTTTGGGAGGCCAAGGCAAAAGGATCCCGCAAGCCCAGGAGTTCAAGACCAGCCAGCATAACACAGCAAGACCCCATCTCTACAAAATAAATAAATAAATAAATAAAATTAGCTACGCGTGGTGGCATCCGCCTGTCCCAGCTACTGGGGAGGCTGAGGTGGAAGGATCACTTGAGCCCAGGAGGTTGAGATAGCAGTGAGCCGTGATTGCCCCATTGCACTCCAGCCGGGGCAGCAGAGCAAGATCCTGTCTCTTATATATTTAAAAAAAAAAAAAAATCTGTAGATCTAATTCAAATGATGAGAGTTCAGATGGCAAGAGCAACCTGACTTTTACTTGTTGGCATTGTACTATGTAAATTTTGTGAGCTGCCTCAAGTCTGGTGGACATAAAGATGCCAACAAATGAATTCTAATAAGAAATGGGCTTGCTGCCTTTAAGTCAAGGGGCTACAGCAAGCTAACCTCAGAAGCCAGGGATCACAAAGAGGTAATGGGAGTCAGACAAGCTGAGCTGTGGCAGGACATAGAAACAAGGGGGGTTCTGTGTCCCACGGGTCCAAAGAAGAAATTACGTATGAAATTGCGGCTCTGGGATGACAAGAGTCCTAATAATATTTGCTGGACAAACAAAAGGAACTCACTGCCTGATTTCTGGGGCCTCAGGGTAGGTCAGCAGCAAGATTCTGGTGCGAACTTGGCTGTAAACCCAACACGGGGCAGCCTTGCCCGTGGAGCTGGCTCTCCCAGTGAGGGCTGGGCTTTAAGGCCAGCTCAGCAGTCACAGGTCCCAAGGGAAGCAGATCAGACCCTGGTGGCTGGAAGTGGCTTCACTCAAACCTGGCATGAGGGCAAAATCGGGTGGCCCTTGGGGGCCCCAGACAAGAGTGTTGCTGGCCTGGAGATGAGGAAGGTGGAGTGCAGGGAGCATGTGAACTGTAGGCCCCCAGAAATGCTGGTTTTCATGACTGTGATCCTACCAGTGACGTCCTCGGGGCAGGAGCTATACCCTCCCACCCCACCCCAACAGGGGCCACTGGTAAAACCAGTCTAGTCAGAGGGTCTCGAGAAAACCACCAGAAGATCACCAGAGAGGCGGGTTATGAAGCTGGGTGACCTGTGCCTGCCAGTGAGTTTGGCCCCACTAGCTTCCTTGCCAGTAAAGCACCTCCCCAACCTGACCTTCAATACTTAATAAGAACTCTTGGCAAGAGCTCTGCAGACACAGGCTGGGCACAGTGGCTCACACCTGTAATCCCAGCACTTTGGGAGGCCGAGGCAGGAGGATCACTTGAGCCAAGGAGTTCAAGACCAGCCTGGGTAACATGGAGAGACCTCATCTCTATTGAAATAATGAGATAAACGAATACTTTTTTTTTTTTGAGATGGAGTTTCGCTCTTGTTGCCCGGGCTGGAGTACAGTGGCGCGATCTCAGCTCACTGCAACCTCCGTGTCCCAGGTTCAAGTGATTCTCCCGCCTCAGCTTCCCGGTGGCTAGGATTACAGGTGCGCACCACCACGCCCAGCTAATTATTTTTTGTATTTTCAGTAGAGGCGGGGTTTCACCATGTTGGCCAGGATGGTCTCGATCTCCTGACCTCGAGACCTGCCCACATCGGCCTCCCAAAGTGCTAGGATTACAGGCGTGAGCCACTGCGCCTGGCTGCAAATATTTTTTAAAAACATTTCATCACAAGCTTGACCGCTCTGGGGTTGCATGTTAAGAACTCCCAAGAAACATCCTAATGTGCTCTGAGAGGGGACTGTGCCCACTGAGGGCTCCATACCTGTGTTTGCTTGAGGCTGTGCTTGGGGGACAGGCTCCCTGTGCTGTTGAGGCTGCTGACGCTGCCGTGGGATGGCGTGGAGCGGAGGCTGTCTTTTGGTGGGGGGCTGGCGGGCAGGACAGGGACGGCGCCAGGGAACACAGTCTTCTTTCTCTTGGAGGGGGGGATGAGGGACGGGGGCAGGGCGGAGGGCACGGGCTCCTTCTCCAGGGCTCGGTACACCAAGTGCATGGCCTGCGGGTGCAAACGACAATGGCGCTGAAGGGACAAGGCTGGGGCCGGGCACCACCAAGAGAAGGCAGAGGGCAGCCCTTTTGGGGGCTGCAGTGACAGGACAGACACTCTGTGAGGACGCTCCCAAGCTGACCAGAGGGAAAAAACAATCATTCCAGATGAGTTATCTTTTATGTGTAACTTTCCGAGACATGTGTTGAATTATTCCTTGAGACTGAAATGCACACAGAAAGAATTCAATCAAGCCAGACTCGGTATGCATCCCTTCACCACTCAGGGAGGCCACCGGCTCCAGGGCTGGCACCTTCCCAGTACTGATTTGGAAGTCTAAAGACACCAGAAGAG